CAGTTGACTATATTTCTAGAAATATTTTCACACTTATTCGTGTCATACCAATTTCCAGAAATTCTTTATAGATTTGTTCAGCTAATTTTTGAAGTAATGTTTTAAAATGTGTGGGAAGAAGAATAATGATCATATTAGGTGGATGTCATCCAACAATCAGCATATATTCAGCGAACTCAGCCCAAAAGGTTTTAGCCAGACAAAGTAAGAAATACAAATAAATCGTTAGAAAAGTAATGTTTATTTCGAGATCGAGGCTATGAAGGTGAGATGAATGACCAACTAACTAGGAACTCTTTTTGGACAGTCGAATTCAACATGACAAATAGTGGAGATGGATGATCTTATGTCCTCAGCGCGACCAGTCCGCTTAAACATTAACGGTCAACAATCATTTTCAAGTGAAGGTAACTCTGTAGGTTACTTAATTTTCACATTCACTCACTACTACATTCTTATTTCTGACTCACTGGAAGGCTTGTTCCGCATAATTTCTCAACTAGTCAGTTAATCAGATATTATCCAAAATAATTATAAGCTATCAAACCCAGTTCCTTACTTTACTTTATTTAAAGAACTTTACATATGTACTCAACAGCTTCTCGTTCTTAAGTTGGAACTGTGTGGTGTCATAAGTTATTCGCTAATGCGGACTACTTATTTCTTGGGTAAACTCCGTTCAAATTTATTTTTCAATTCTTAATGCTTAACTTGCAATCATCGAACTTCTACAATTTGGTGCAACGGATTACCCAGTCTTTACGAGCAAAATAGTCAGTATATCCAAAGGCTTTACCACCAACAAACTTTTCAAAATCCATTGTCTTACAGTGATCTACTGATTCTCCGGGTGCGTTTGAAGGGTGTGCACGACCAATGTAAGAATATAACTTCGACATTCTAAGTAGTGGCCTTTATACAGAAATATCTCTGAGATGGAGGGAATGCAAGATTACCTCAGATTTCTAGTGCTTGATTGAAGACGTGGTTTTTGATAAGAAAATTCAAATGTGAAATAACAGTACTTGAATATTGTCGGAATCGTAGATTAAAGGAAATATTTTATTCTTTCACTTAACGAAATAAATAAATCTGCCGAATGGTTTTCAAACTTGTGACGTTCAGAGATAGTGATGCGTAACCTTTCCTAATGATGATATCACCCTTAAGACGCAAGAGAAGTTGTAGACGTTCTTGAACCTTCACTCTTGAACAATGAGTGGGCACAGTTGTACATGGTCTCATATTATTATTGGGTTTAGAAAGTAAATGGTGGAGAACCATACTATGATCACTGCTGTCATAAAGTAGATTTCTCGGCAAAATCTATTAAAACTCACAATTATCTTTGCCTAAACGAAAACCTATTCAGCGAAATTTGACAGTGTTTCAATGATATATGCAAATTACACAATTTGAGTTAAAACTTCACCAGAGTTCCCTTTGGAGACCTATATGTGCAGATCACAATTCGATGATTCATACTAGCATGTTGAAATCATTAACATCCAATACAAAGTCATATATTTTCGTTTGAAAGGAAACTGTGATGAACTCGCACCTTGAACTATACAATGTGCAAATCACGGTATTTCGTCCCATGTTTTTCCGGTCCTCGCAAGTAGTTAAACAGAATTCAAGTAATTCTTAATTATTTGGCTCTCTGAACGTAGTCAGACCGAGTATCCCGATTGTAGTGGCATATTACTTCCAAAAATCATCAGCCCACAGTATTCATCACACTGCATTGGATGCTGGCCTTCAGTGCACAGATCAACTGGTTATCCAGGAGGATCTCGGTCGATCATCTACGCCATCTAGTTTGCCATCGTGTCACATTCGTTTGTTCATTCGTTCGTGCACGATCACTTGCAATCATCCTCCTATTACGATTTCGACCCAGAAATACATTTTGGTTTTTAGACGATCAATTTGGTGTTTGGATTTGTCTTTGGTCTATGCAGAATAAATACTTTAGGAATTGCAGAATAATAACTCGTACTTTGTGAAAACACTAAATCCCTCACCCCCTAGCGGCTGATTAGCTGAGTACCACACGAGCTTAACCGCCAGTAGGTGTTTAGACCAATAACAAAACTTATGATTGTGTGTAAACTAGTGAAATATAATTATACTTTATTTGTGTTAAAATCACTTCGATTTGGCAAGCAATGAACTATTCCCTACTATTCAAATTCATCAGTAGCATTTACTATATAATAGTTACTATGTTGGGTAACGCAAAAGGCCAGACGTCGTATTAGACACAATCTCGTGACCTAAATAAGCCACTACATCGTCAGCAGTAAAGATTAGGTTTCCAATAACATAGTAAATGTTGTCTGGGTTTGTTTTTAGGCGAAAGAATAATCTTCGATTTTATCATTTTTTCTGTTACAACTTTAGGCTAAAATTTCATTCATCCGCGTTTTCTTCCTAATAAGCATCAGGCTAATTAAACTTTTGAATTATTTATGTAACATAAATGTAAAAAGCCGATAATTTCCGCCAACTCCTAAGCTTTTGCAAGTTATAATTGTTCAGATTACTTGACTATTCTGACTACTTCATCATTAATTACTGGTTCCGTAATTACATTGAACACTCACTTACTTCTTAAATACTCCTTATTATTGCAAAATTATGCATCATGCAATCCACTTGTTTAATTTTCGCAATCATTTCTACAATTTAGTTGTTGTATGAATTTTCTTGGTTAATTATTACACCCCCCACACACACACACTCGACATGTTGATATTGCGTAATTATTGTTAGTGAATTTATCACTACCAGATGGATAAATTCTTTTTGTATAATATTAAAAGTGCTATATAAGTCAAATTAGAGTCATGGATGAGGAGCTCATAGAAAAGTAAATATTTCTTCGCTCAGTGTTGTTTTCTTCTAAAGAAATAAATAGGAAATTTTTGTGTATATCAGATATTAAATGCACGAAAGTTTCTCCAGAATCAAACTGACAGCATATATATATACATATGGATAACTGAACTTTGCAAATTAGTTAGAAAATGTTGGGATGTGCTTATTGTCTGTCTGTCTGTTTTCGACATAGAACTTTGCACAAATGTGCGGCAGTTCAAGTCGCCACACTCCATGTAGCACACAAAGGAAGAAAGTAGGAGAAATGCATAATATAGACAGTAAACAGAGGTGTGAGACAAAGGAGTAGTAATAACGAAGAACGAACAGTTTCATCGGAAATCATAAGTCACAAGGAGTGGATGCATCTGCGCCACTGAGAACGATTTTGAGCCATGTCACCATTTGTTTCCAACCATTGGTTTTTAACGTCTCGAGGACCCCAACCAGGAAGTCTACATCTTCCTACGTGGCTTAGACTAACTGTTGTAAATTTCATTGACTGGTACCATGTTTTGGTTTGACCGCCGCTAGCTCTTTTCCAGCCTGACCCTATATCAGCTAACATTGCCCGTCGAGGAAGGCGATGACTAGTCATACGTAACACATGTCCTAACCATCTCAGTCGATGTAATTTCACGGTCTCGTCGACTGATTTCCCCTCCTTACCTAACACTCGACTGATGCCTAACCTCAATATTGCTCACCTTATTATACCACTTCACGCGGGAGATAGAACGCAGACACCTATGATCAAAGACAGCTAGCTAGCCTTTTCATGTCTTCCGCTCTCAACGACCAGGTCTTACAGGTATAAGGGAGGGTGGAGCGGACTGATGAGCAGTACACACGCCCTATGGTCGATAGTCGGATATCGCGTCTACGCCAGAGACGGCGTAAACTGGCATATGCGAAACTAGCCGTCTGTATCCGTGCTGAGATTTAGTCGGAGATCAACCCGTTGGGTCTGATGGTACTTCTCAAATAAGTGAAGCGTTCAAAGTGTTCTACCACTTCACTCCCTATTTCTAATCTAGGGGTCGGTGTAGTCCAGTTGTGTAACATCATCTTACATTTTACAGCACGAGCAAATCGCATGCTAAACATTCGTAGATTGCAGCTCAAGGTGTTCAGAAGACTGCATTTTGTCAGCGTCCTCACCTAGAAGGACTATATCGTCTGCATATTCTAAGTCAGCGGTATTATTCCCTGGTAGCAAGTCAATTCCTGAGACGCTGAAGTGAGTTAGGGTTAAGTTCATTAGTACATCTATAATGAAGTTGAATATAAATGGGAATAATGGGCATCCTTGACGTACGCCACTAGTCGTCACCACTTCAGATGACAACTCGCCGTAAGCCCTCACCTGGCTGCTTGAATACTAGTAGAGTGCCTTAATCAGTGCAGTGTATTTTTTCGGCATTCCCTTTAAAGCCAAGCATCGCCAGAGAACCTCTCGGTCGATGTGCTTATTACACATTGACTACAAATAGTTACAGTACCTTGCTGCATACTATCTTTCACTATTTCCTGTAATAATAATACTCGTGCTTAATGTCACTTATCAAGTCTAAGTCCATGCAATATATCACTCCGTTACAGGAAAGGAATGTCACAAAAGTAATGGTAAACCGTTCGAGAATCTATGACCATACATGTCTTTTAAAATACAAAGTGAACATTAGTTTTGGAGACTGCTTACAAGAGCGGAACACAAATGGTATTTTTAGTTTGTGATGCTACTGGCTATCATGTTTTAAATATCTTTCAACTATGTAGTGTTGACGTACTGAATATTAGTTTAGAGGAGTTTGTAATGACACAGTACAATGAACAACTTAAGTGTACATTTGCAAACTGCATTTTAGAAGAAACTTATTTCAACATTTATATAGTAAACAAAAAGGTGAAATTAAAAACAAAAAAAAGCAATTCATTATTCTTGCAGTCAGTTGAAATGCATTTTGTACAAACTCTGATCTTACTTGAACCATATTTAGTCATTTTGTCTGATCTCTATTATAGATTTTTAAATTCTAATGTGAAAAAATAATGATACTTAATCAATGAAACTATTTCTGCTGTTGATTATAACGAGTATTTTTACCCCCTTTTTGGCCTGTTCTTTTAACCTACATTCATTTTCCTGAACTAACTTATGATTATATATAAGCGAAGAATTTTAGTTTATAGATAAATGTATTTATTCCACTAAATTCATTTATTTCTGAACTAAGGAAAACTGGTTGTATGCACATACCATTAAAAAAATACAAGGACCTCAAAAAATATTTGATTAAAAATATCAAATCACTGGTTAACCATCAGTAATAGACTTTAGATGATTACAGTTCATAAAGAAAGAAGAGTTATTGTCGAATTGTACCCCTGAACCACAACTTGGCAACCTGTGTTCACGACACTTATCCTCGAATCCACAAGCTGCATTTGAGAATTCATAGTCAATAATCTCTTGAAAAGCCCTCCCTAGTACTGTAGTCATTACAATCCCCCATATTAAGTAAACTGAAAGCAAAAAAGTATGAAGAAACAGGAATCAGCTTGACATCCAACATTATTACTATGATTTAATGTAGTTCACCTTTTATTTTTTCTGGGAATTTTATCACTAGCCTCCTATATCCATTGAATTTAAAATGGTTTAATCATTAGTTAACAGCAGTTTAAGATTCATGAAAAAATTTGAAAACAAAAGCAACAGCACAACTTTAGCACTTCGGGACTTCATTTTCATACATCTACCTCTTCACTTTCGTTTGCCTTAGGGGAGTCGAACTTTCTAGAGATCCTGTGATATGTATTCTCGATTGATTCAGTAACAGACACTTATTACTGATCTCTTCTCTTACATTTTCATATTAGGTTTTAAAACTGTTACTTTCATCAATCCACCCAGCAGAATTCTAAAACCTAAGTTTCAAAGTCACCCTGTGTTATCTATTAGGTAAGCGAACTAATGTGAAATAACAGAATACCTTTTTTCATTTACTTTACATATTACACATTCAGGTAACAATTCGTTTGAGCATAATATCACTTAGCTAACTCGTAGACTTGTCAGTTAGAAAATATCTCATCGATAATAAAGTCTTGTTAATTTTGGCAAATGGATTGCCCCATATTAGAGAACTCCGTGTAAACTTTTTATGTCACTGTTATAAAATGAGTTTACCTGAATTTTGCAGTCCAAAATAGTAAAATTTATTTGAAGCTGACTGACGTATAATGCTAAAATTTACTTTAACAATGACATTCTTTCTTCATTTCTAAAATCACTGGTACATTCCCTCTCCTTCTGTTTCTCACAGTCAGAAGTTTTTGCCCAGTGTACTACGTCTATAGCTTAGTGTCAGAGTTCAGAGACTGATGTTGAAAATAAATTTGATAATTTCTGATCAATCTGAGAAATTATTCTAAATAAAGACCATCTGTTCAGTTTTCAATGATAATATTCAGCTTAAAATTAGTTGGTCGTGTGTTTCACGCGATAATGAAATGTTCTGGAAATGTGCTCACTGATTACTTGAGAAAAAGGTATCCACAACAATACTGCACATGGTGAGGAAATAATTTACAAATGCATGATTTCAAATTTTGTTACGACAGTCGAATTTGTACGAAGAAGGCCTAGTCAAAGAATTCAATTCTAAGGGAAAATGTCAGCCTTAGCCTATGGAGAAGCAATTATCAGCTTTGGAGAAATGAAGTGAATTATTGGTAACAGTGTCTCAGTATGTCAGCCACCATCGAACATTCTTGTTGGAGACGAAAAATTTGATGAAAAGCATTTAACCCAATGGATGGATTCAATTAAGTCATTAGTTCAATGAATTTGTTTTTCCGCGTTCGCTCCCTTATAACCTCACGTAACCTGTGAGCCATAATCGTAAGTTCAGATATTTGTAGATGTCTAGTGTCAGTTAAGTAACTTGTTAGTGGATTATCTGGAAGAAATCCAGAGTCCGGTTATTCCTTGTGACTCCTTATATTTTATTCGCTATACACCTCATGATATCAGATATTTCCAAAAGTAATCACCACAGTCGTACGCAGATTTTTCTAAAATGGGAAATCTGGTCTTTGCAGCAGCACATATGTACTCATTCTTTGTCATTTTCCTAACCCTCAACTTTTTTAATTTTTCTTCACTGAAATGTTCACATCTTTCTCGTACTCATATTGTTCACTGTAATATCATTCTGCAGCTTTTATCTGTTTTTGCTGTAGATTATTTCACAGTGTGGAAACTTGAACTGATGCATTCTTTGTTAATACGTTATCTATAAAATCACATATTAAATGAGAATCAAACATATCCACTGACTGAATTAATTTCCTGTAAAGGAGAACAAGGATATTAATGTCAGGAATATAGTCTAGTAGTATTTAAGTATACAAAAAATGTCTTTAACTTACCCGAAGTTGCTAATTTATATATATTTTTGGCATAAACATATGATATAACTTTCGGTACATCGTGTTTCTTGTCTTGACTTGGCACCAAATCGCCTAAGCCAACTGTACTGAGCGATACAAAACAATAATAAACTGAATCTAAATAGGTCCAGTTGTCTTCTAAGCGGTAAAATACAGCCGCAGGTATAAATATTGTACACACTACTACCACCAAAAATAGTACAAAGAAGTGAAATAATCGAATGTGGAATATACCATGATGATCTTGATGATAACGAAGTTGAGAAAATCTAACCCTACTGGTTAATGCAAGATCACTCCTGGATAACTGAATACAGAAAGAAAAGAAGAATGAAGCCGAAGCTTATAAAACAATTAGAAATATTCGGGACATGATATTTAAATTCCTTTATTATTAATATTCTAGCAGAAAATTTAAACAACAAACAGGACTATATCTATGAATAAACGGCACTTAAAATGTTAAGACTTTAGTAACAACAGGAAAATAAAACCGTTGAGTCAACAACATCACAGAAAAAGAATATAAGTGCAGAACCTGGGCACTGTGACAGAATGTAATTCCGTATACGATAGGTTTATTTTAATTATCACACAGTGATGCAGTATTAACAACTGGATGACTGGAGTTTCGAGCATAAATTATTAACACTCATAATGATACCAATTTTAGTCACAATTTTTCACAATTTGTCTTATACGTGTATATTTCCTCTCTGTCTCTCCAACTTCCCTTTGTTGTTTATTGCCACTTTGCATATCTCCGGTATAGGCGTTGCGTCACTCCGATTGCAAGTGTGAGGTGTTGAATCGATAAACAAAGCTTCAGTAATTAACCTCTCTCTCTCTCCAACTAACTGTAATACTTTTTAATACTCTCACCTTATCCTAACCTATTTTGTGATTACATGTAAGTGAATGCATTGCCAAGGCTGAGCTTTTTCAAGGTCAATTATTCTACGTCTAGCTAAACTTTTATATTCCAATAGCCTAGTTGACCCAGTTCTATTAATTTATCTCTGAGAGAGTTGGTTTGTTTAAATGCCACCCTAATTCCAGCCTGACTGAGAATCCTGCGTAAAGCTTTACGTTTGGTTCCTGACATTCATAGCCATTAAGTAAATAATACAAGAAAAAAATAAAACTGTCAAAGGGAGTTGACAGGCTAACATAAAATGATCAGTACAGGAAACTACACCACCAAAATACCGGCATCTTTCTACATAATCCTGTGAAGTCAGTTTATTTTCAAGAAATAAAATGTAAGTCTGCATTTCATGTCTTACTGGCTCAGTCTCACACATCTCAACATATTAAACAAGATGGACACAAAGTCTGTTGTCAGAGAAATAATTAAACATACTGATTCACATTTCGCTCATTTAAACAACATGACCTTTACGTGTGCAACAATAAACAGCTGCTGTTCTTCTGTTCAATTCGTAAAATATTTTCTATTGTTGATATTGATATTTATGTATTTCTGCACAAATAATACTCTCTTAAATTTTCATTAGTAATCACCCTGAAATACTATACTCTCGGATTCCACCAAACATGCGTTTCATTTGATTTCTAGTCATTGCTTCTGCCCAAATAGTGTAGTCTTCATAATCTGTAAACTAAGTCCTCACGTTTAACTGAACATGAGATCAGTAGATATTTCCATAACAAGCCTGTAAAAGTGTCTCTTTTAATTATAGACTGCAAAGTGTTTGACTAAATGATCCACAAGACTTGTTCTTCTTTTCAAGTAACCTTCAAATATTGAAGCTTTGTGTTATTGTCAACAATATTTTATTAAATAATAAAGTTCAGTCTCTCATAACACAACGCAACGTTAAATATTTTCACTGAAAGTTAGTCTTAGCCTTCCTAATCTCTTTCACTCATAAGTAATACACTGAATTCCATTCTGAGATTTAATTAACAAAAAGCTGTGAATGTAAAACTGAAGTATTTCTTCAGACAACACAGTAGACAAAACAGTCCATCATGAGATAAGGTGCAGATCATAATTTGCTTTCTAAGAGTCTTAGTAGGAGTTCTTTTAAATGTAGTGAATACATCTAAAGTGTAACAGTTGAAATATTAAAGTAAGAATATCTGATAACACCAATAAATAGAAAAGGAAAATGAAAATAAAACAAGCTATCAGATTATTTAATCCAACCGGTAGTTGAATATCAATAGTAGATTTTTATAAACATTTTAATAGAAAGAAGAATTGCGAACTTAACATTCCAAGTTATATTTTTAACTGGCAAAAATTGAAATATGAAGACCATTCAAATTTTACTCTTAAAACTTCAATTCTCGACCTATATAAAGCATAGGAAACTGTTGAATATAAAAAGGGTTCCTTGAGTACCTAGTTAAAAAATATAATTTCAGATAAACTGGCACCGAATTTCCTTGAATTAAATTTCATGTAAATGGTATTATGATTCACCTTTTAAGACTCTAGCCTTTTAGGCATCTTGTAAAGGTTTAGGAACTTGGATAGTTTAATTAGCTCTCACATAATGAAAATGACCTAGTATTATGAAGTTTAAATAAGAGGCCGGAAGTCGGGTCAACAAAAAACCTGGTTACCACGTTGCAGAGACATTTTGTAAGTAAGGTGGAAAACAGTTATGAATATTAACTAGCTGACCTTTTCCAGAACCAGTTAAGTTAACCAAAGAGTGATTGTATTCTACAAGTGTTACAGACTGTTACACTTAAACTTATCATCAACCCATTTAGAAATCTATAACTCTTGTTTTAGAGACATGTATAATCTTTGGCTGGAACTCGCAGAATGACAAGGATAAATGGGTAGGATGGTAGTGGATGTTGCAATGCATTCACAATCTCACCAATTCTTATTTACTTATTTTCACCCTCATATTCACGTCCGCGCAATGAAACTTGATTCGGTTAGGGTCTAATTCTCACAGTGTACTAATTCAGACAATCTGATAACATATTTTCTTGTGAATTCACTTTATATGAAAAATGAAGAAATGATATCCATTCTATGAATTAATCGCGTTTTTCAGATGGACTCAGTCTTCTAATAACGCTATCAAAATTTATTAAAGAGGATGAATACGGAGTAAACAAGTAATCCATAGCTGCGGTTAGTTACCCAGTGAAACTGTTTTGTACTCCTTGAAATCCGGAAGTCATTCCAATAATTCTGTTTCAGACCTCTCGTTTCTTATCGTCAACCATACATTTTTAACCCATGCTGCCACATCTCCATACTCCACTGAATTCGAATTTTACAATAGGAGTGGATATTTGACTCCAGCTTAGCCTACCCTATGCTGAGGGGTGCATTATTATTAAATTGTGTCAACAGCAAGTGCGAAATCGGAGAAGACAACGTGAAGCAATTTGTCCCACCATGGCGTCTACTGCTTCTTCGTTGAAGCATCTATGGATCTGTTTGGTGTACACCTTCTCAGATAATACTGCTCGTGACGCTGCTGAGATAGGTTTGCAAGGACTTAAAGAAATGGATTTTTGTCAGCTTCCAACTTTGAAGAGAACGGTGCTCTATTCCACTTTCGGACGACATTCTGTGATCCCACTGAAACTCGAATTAAATCGGACTAGAATCCCTGTGAGCAACGTTCAAGGATGGTTGATCTGACTTCATAAAATCTAAGGGATTTCCCGTGGTATAATTTCAATAATGCACGAGAACTATGTAATTTGGTTTAATTAAAAAATTTCTGATCGGTGCATATACGCACCAGGTGTCTCGAATTTCCTTCAGTGACACTTTGAGCGTTTAAAAGCCTTCGACTGAAGAAATCCATTTTCGAAAGAAAGTTCCTGTGGATGAATGAACTGCTTTGCACTGTACTTTGAAGTTGTTTCAGCGCACTCTACAGTTTTGAAAATCTCAGAGCATAACAAGAATGAAGTCATCATCAATGGACCGAAACGAAATTAGAAATTAAAAGCATTCCTGTCAAGTGTAAAAATTTATTAGTTGACAACCATACTCACTAGAAAATGTAGGAATGCAATACATGAAAGACGTGCACGATATACTAGTGTTGTTTCAGTTGAGAAACTATCCACAGAATCACTTGCAGATTTTCGGAATTTTTCAAATAAACAGTGTCGAGACAACCTTTTGAAATTTCTCATGAATGAACCCTTCTCATCGTTTACACCAGATGGTGTGTGATTTGATTTGGTTGGTATCTGTTGATATATTTTATCGTCAGCAGCACTCTCGTAATCATTTATGTTAACACTGATTGTAGACTGAGATTTATTACATGTGTTTATTTCATCTGACATCACTACACTACACTTCTTCGATGACTTCTTTTTAGGTTCAGGAGGTTTTGTGGTTGGTCTTTGATTAGATTCCAATGGATTACTAATTAATGGATAGTCAGACTTCAGTAGTACCTCTTGAGGTTTCATTATGGGTGACAATATTTTTGAAGACTTCAATGGAGGGTAAAATTTTGGACGATCATACAGACTCTCCAGATACTTATGAACATTGCCTGACGGAGAATGTGGGAAGCATTTTCTATTTTCTGGCAATGATAATATCGAAGATGAAGGTGAAACAACCTTGTGGATCAGCTGTTTCGTACTAGTTTCAACGTTCGTACTTGTTAGTTTCGATTCTTTTGATTGTAATCTATGTTTCCTGAGTTTACTTGTTAAATGGCTGGAAAAAATAAAAGGTACAAATTGAAAATAGTAACATTTTAAGTGCCGAATTTTAAGAGATTGAATATTCGAGTTAATAATGAGAGTAAACTCATTTTTTGTATAAATTAGCCTGCTTCTGAAGTAAAAATAAAAAGAGAGTACCGTGACGTTTCTTGAAACTTTCTAGCCATATCTCACTTCATGAAGGGACTGGTAGTATGCATAGGGTTTTTATGTGACTGAATTCCCGCAGATGTCTAGTGAAGTTGGTCATTAATCTAATTCTAAGAGCTAGTCAATCAAAATAACGAACAGAAAGATCAGTGTTTTCCGTATTCAGTTTATTATAGAAACAGCGGTGAGGGTAGTTATCGAGCTTAAGCTGAAAATGAGTCCACTATATTTTGTATCATCGTCCATACTGACTGAGAAGATAGACAAACTTTAGGAACAGTTTGAAATGATGAGATATGAATGTTGCTGACTAAAAATCTTTGCGAAAAACAAGAACAGTGATGAGTGACGAAAATAAAAGTTATAAAAAAGATATCATCACTTGTAGATTATTGCCTGTCAGTAAGACTTATTAGTGAAAAGAATTCTGTTAATTTACTCTTGCTCATTACCTCAAAAGACTCTTGAATCAACCCCTAACTACATCGCATCTACAGAAACTGTCATCAGACACGAAAAAACCACTGTTCATAAAACTGTAGTTCCTCGGCGACAGCATCAGCAAAATAATATCACAGTGCCTGAAGAATGCAGTTAAAAGAGCTTATTAAGCAGCCCAGGTACGTCGTCTCTTCACAACCACCCCTATTCTACGTTCGAGAAATAAAAAGTAAACTACCTAAATTTGCCTCCTCTGTGTGTATCTACCAGTTTGACTGCAGCTGCAGAGTCAGCTACATTGGGCGTACAATTAGGCAGGTTCATCACTGTATTTCCGAACATCATCCAGGATGGTTAAGCAAGGGACAAACAAGATCTATTCGTAGCTCTCTTTAAGCACACCTTGTAGATAGTGAGCATAAGGTTGACGATAATACATCATTAAAAATTATTTATCGCACTCCTACTAACCTTAATTTTGCTTTACGAGTTCGTCTTCTACATACAGTTGAAGCAATATGAATCCACCTGCAGAAGCCAAACCTGTGTGTTCAGAGGAAATTTATGCAGCGTCTTTCCTTACCTTGGTCATTGTTAAATGAATGTATAAACCGGACTACTTCGCCCTCCTCCCCCTAGACCTTTAAAAATTATACCTGTCCAAATTATTTTATTATTTTTCTGACTACTTCATCTTTAATGACATGTAATCTTTGTAAAATTATTTTATTCTTATGACCACTTCAACCTTTGTTACAAGTTATCATTGTCCAAATCGTTTTATTTTCTCCAACAATCTGTTACGTAATCAACCTGTGCACATGCCTATTTCATTATTACCCTTCATTTTTCCAAAATTATGCATGACTCAATCCGTGTTGCAACCATTTCTACTTTTAATTGTCAGTATTAATTTTGCTCGTTAATTATCACCCCATTGACATGTTGACACTGACTAATTATTGTTAACAAATATATCACCACTTGATTGATAAATTGTTGTGTATTGTAATAAAAATGCTGTATATATTAGAGTAGAGCTAGAGATGAGGATCTAAATGGAAAATAAATATTTCTCCGCTCAATCCTTCTGCTTTCTAGACACAAAAGTTACAATGGGAACTAACTTGCTGAGAAAAACAGGAGTTTTGAAGGCCATATAATTGATAAAGACTTCGAAAGCAGTGTCACTACTGTAACTTGATGTCATCATAAATGTATGAACATAACTGAGTTTGTTTGGATTTGGCACCTCAAACGTCGTTATGCTATTGGGGTAGTTTTTAATTTGAAGTAAAGTACGCAGACTGCATATTAATTCTAGGTGAAGACCCTGAGAGCATCCACAATCTTATAAACACTGTTAAGAAACGTCTCTATGGATCCTGCAAGCGGTATGCAAGATGACGCCATAAAACTAGTCCATCTCGTCAAATTTAAAGTTGGTTAGTGAAATAGTTGACTGTATTAACAACTTCTAAGCCCTGATTTCAGTGCAGATATGAAAACGCCTTCTTTTGCCTACTTGAATTGTCTTTGGTGCAGGGAATATCCAACTATTTATTGAGGAAACTTTTCGCTGTTTAGAGGTTTGCCCACTTCTACTTAACGGCTGAGACATGGGTGATAAAAGCATAATGAAAATGGTCACAGGTGTTCAACTCTGAATGTTTTCGTTCAGTAGCTCTTATTCTGTGGAATAATAAGATAAATGGTTTTGAATGGGCACTAGTAACTAGTGTGATGTGTCTAGTCCTTTCTTTGGTGCAGACTGAATTCTATCAGTCAGGTTTGTAATGTGGCCATCATTCTAGGTAGCTCGCCATCACGGTGCACATTGATTTGATGATATTAGATGGTTGGAGTCAATCGGCAGGAAGCCTTACCACTGAACTCAGTGGTAACGTCTCTGACTGCAGCACTGGGTGACGCGGGTTCGAATCTTAGAAGGGACATGACTTCCTTCACGGTTGCAGATACGCCTTGCTGAGTGGTGAGTGGCAACTAGCACGAAACCTGGGTCCAAGGCTCCCTGCCGATTGCCTTCAACCATCTAATATCACAAGATAAATATGATAGGTAGAAAAGTAAGTCAGTGGAGGATGTTGTGAAATGAATAACTGGAATGAATAAAACTTGTTTTAGGTATACCATGTCACCATCTTCCTAAATTAGGCTCTGCCTGAGGCAGGACATACCGCTAATCCACAAGTCACTGTTTATCCTTCTGAGTTATATAGGGTGTCACAGACTGCCTGGTAGAGTTCTTAAGAATAAATGGTTGGTGTCTCACACACAGTTATGAAGATATGAATACCTCATTATCTTCAAAATTTTGATAACGATTTATCTTCCTTATTTATTCACCCCCCCCCCCACATACATATTTAGCAAATCAAATAGTATGAAATCCAGAAAATTATAATGACAATTCCCATCCACAGTTAATTTGCGCTGCTATAAAGTATCCCATTCAGTGATGCTTGAATAAATCAATGAATTCCTAATCAATACTTAGTAAATAACATTTGAATTTATTTTAATTACACCCAATTATGAATTGATGTAATATTTCTTCTCTACCCTTGGTTTTTTAACATGTATGGGTGAAAAAGTAGAGAGAGGATTTTCAAGATAACTCAGTTTATAAAAACTGATTCTTTTCAAATAAATGCAAGGTTAACACATAGTTTAATTTGCTCTGCGGTGCAGTGAATTGACAAAGAGAAAACAATTTGCTGTTTTTCCATTAGCATACAGTCTTTTTGATGTTAATTTTCTGAAGACAAACTTTATGAAATACAGAGCTTATGCAAGTTAGATTTTCAAAAATAAGCAAACTGTCATTCACTAATTGGAACACACTTTATCAAACCCGGATCAATACTACGATTATTATTATCTCATTTAGTCCCGAGAGGTACATAGGGATTCAGCCACACATCAATTTTTTACGGTTATCCGACAACGTTTCCACCTGGATCCACGTCTACCCACATGCTCTCATCTCCTCTTCACATGATCTCCTCCATGTAACCCTCGCACTGACGGCCAATTCACCGCTTCCCCTTCGGGTTCCACTCAAGCGATGGCCTGGAGTGTGAGGTCACTCACTTGATGGTTTTCTCAGTGTCGCCAATCCATCTCCATTTCTTCCTGCATATTTGCTGAGCATTCAATTCCTGCTTGATTCGTCCCCAGAGATAGCTGTTGCTGATCTTCTATGGATGACATGGCTATCTGATCTTGAGCGAAGACAGCTGTTTATGAAGGTCTGTAGTTTCTTCGAAGTGCCCGTCCAAGCTCTGTTCAATCATCATACTTAGTGTTGCAATTTGATCGGTGCATGACTTGTTTCTTCTGAATCCAGTCTGTTCCCGTCAACTGTTTTCATCCAGCGCTTGTCTGATTCTCTCCAGCATGATTCGGCTTAGTATTATGCATAATGCCACGCCAGTTCTTGCATTGACTATAGTTTCCTTTCTTCGGCAGTTCCAATAGGTAGCCTTTCTTCCAATCCGCAGCTACCTTACCCTCTTTCCACATCGTCTTCAGTAGTGTTGTCACCAAGTTCGCTGATGTCTCTCGGTCCATCTTCAATACTTCTATCGGGATCCCGTCTGGTCCCGCAGCTTTTCCAGATTTCAGTACTTTTATGACCTTCAGGATTTCCGCTTACCTCGGACAGTTGGTAGTTCCACTTCCGCTGTTCGTAATATTGGGCACGTTGTAGGTGGCGGTCGATCAAGAAGTCTTTTGAAGTGTTCAGTCCAGTGTTTCCTTTGCTCTACCTCTTCGGTGATTGACTTTCCATTGTCATCTTTCACTGGCTTAATTTGTGTTGATCGCTCCACCGATAGGAACCCAGTTGTTTGGTAGAGTGTTGCGAGGTCTCCCTTGCCTGCAGCTTGTTCCGCTTCACTTGACGTAGCCGCATAATGTTTACTTTTGTCTTCCCTGGCACTCTTCTTTACTCTTTTCTTCAGTGCATTGTAGCTTGCATTCAACTCCTGTTTTTGTTGCTCGTCGACGCACTGCACAATCTTTTGTTTCACCATCCTTCTCTCTTCTGCTAGTCGCCACGTGGCTGTGGTGAGCCACTCTTTGTCCTATCTCTTCTTTCTGCCTAGAACTTCCAGGCAGGTTTGGCTCCACACCGATATCAGCTTGTTCCAGTGTTTTTCAACGCTGGTCTCTTTGCTAGTGCTGATTTGTGTCTCTGTCTTTTTCCCTATGATTGCAGTGAAGATGTCCTTTGTGGTCTGGTCATTCAGCTTGTGAGTATTGAACTTGGCTTGTGGTCTATCTGCACCTCGTGTTTCTTTGAAAGTTTCTAATGTGATTTGGAGTGTTCCTTGCACGAGATATTGGTCTGAGGCGACGTCTTCTTACTTTTGTGTTCAGCAGGCTGCGTTTCCACTTCCTTGAAATTGAGATGAAGTCAATTTGTTTTTTGGCTTGTCCGTGTGGTGACATCCATATAGTCTTGTGGATTTCCTTGTGCTTGCATACACTGCCGCCAATTACTAGTTTATTAAAGGCACAGAAGTCAGCGAAGTGTTCTCCGTTTTCATGCATTTCTCCAAGTGCTTTTCGACGTACACTACCATTAATAATAATTTATAGTACTTGTAATAATAACTTGCATTGCTATATTGATTACAATGGAGGAATATTACCTTATTTTCTAAAGCACTCTATGCATATTTCACATTTATATCAACAAGTCCGTGTAAGTAGGTCAAATAGCTAAGATTCATGTTAATGCGATTTTCAGTTCATCTAAGTGACTGATTTTTAACTACGAGATTAGCACAGAAGTGCAGCAGTTCAAGTTGCTACACTTCATGTAGCACACAAAAGTTGACAAAAGAGATTCAAGGAACCATAGGAATCAGAAATATGAGGGAGAAAGAATAGTAACAGGAAAACATGTTGGTTTAGTGGTTATGAGGGATTAAGAAGAGTAAATGAATCTGCACCAGTTAGAATGATTTTAAGCCAGATCTCCAATAGTCTCTAGCCATTGGTTCTTAGTATCCTAAAGACTCCAACTAGGCACTCTACAACTAACTCTCTATGTGGCTGATTCAAGCTAACTGTCAAAGACTTCATTTAGTGATAATAGGTTTTGCTTTGACCATCAGTAACTCTTTTTCAGCTAAATCCTACGTTAGCTAACAATGCTTATTAATGAAGGTCATGGCTTCGCATGCGCAACACTTGCCCTAGCCATCTCAATCGAATCACCGTCACTACCTCATCGACTGACTCACTTTTACTTATCTAACAATCTACCTCAATATCCCTGATCATATTAATACCAATTAACACACGAGATAGGAAGGGAAACATCTGTGGTCAAAGACAGCCTTTTCATATCTCTTATATTTTCAATGACCATGTTTCACATGTAATTCAATGGCTCAAAAACAATTTCTTTAATTAATTGTCAGTTATTATGCAGCTGATCTGGTAAACCTACTAAAATAAACAATGTAACACTAAATTTTATCTATTTAATTTGATAATTTTACTTATTATTTAATGAGCAAAAGAGATCTATGTTTGCTGACCTACATAGTCTTAACTGGGAATTTTTTTCCTTATATTTCTGTATATATATATATATATATATATATATATATATAAAGCTATGATTATGATTTGATTGTTAATGTAAAAACTGGTGAATGTACGTGTTCTATTAACTTTCACCTAGGTTATATTTATTGGTAGAATTTCACTAGACAATTTAGAGTATCAAAAACTTTATTCATTATTTATCTATCCAGTTTATAGGTTTAATTTTATCTTAAATAATTTGTTTGTTTTGTTATTACTAATAAAAAGCAGTTGTCTAATAAATGACATTCATACACTACAATTAGATCGTGTTAAGTACACTTGCACGATATGTATATATCCTTGTCGATTGTCCGTTGGATAAACTACTGAATCACTATTTATCAAAACTGCATTTTATCTAGCTGTAATAACATTCAATATAAGTTTATGTGCCTAGTATGCTGGCTCTCAATAGACAATATGTTAACTATTTTCCACTAGTAAAAATAAGCCCTTTTAGTCTGATAATTTTAATCTGTTAGGTTTTGAAGTTTGAACTTTAAATTCACTGACCTAATCAGACTTTATTGTTATATATTACCTATTACTATGACTAACTTAGATTAATCGAAATTTGCATTCAAAACTGATTGTTGTTAAAAAAGACCTGCACACTCACAAACTGTGCATATCGTGTCTGAATTTAAGTGATATTATGTTATACTATAAAAAGTATTGTCTGTAAAATATTGGGTGGACGGGGATTCAGTATAGCGAATTCAACACATTATTTGTAATAGTAGACGAAATTTGAATTTTACAAATTAACGGTTACACGTAAAAGTGAACTAACACTTGAATAATAATAATTAAAATAATGGCTTTATTCCACGTATTTGATTTATGTGTATGAAATAAACTAAAAAAGTATTTGCAGAATTCTACATCACCTAGCCCCCAAAGCAAATGTCCTGCTATCGACTCGATAAATGTGGCCGATATCTCGTAATTAATTTGAATACATAGCTAAATTAACCTCGCCTAGTTTAACACTTGACTATAAGCATAGAAAAGAGGGAAGGTGTGGGGTGGGCCTAGCGAGGGAACACGGGAAAAAATATAACGGACAAACTTATTCTTCACTGAAATAGTACAGACGGAATGATATCAGCTAGTGAAAGCCTTCAGGAAGGCAATCAGTCGATGTGTTTTCTTTTCGTGAAAGCAAAGTAAGCGTTGGGACATGAAATGTCTGCATAATGTGCGAAGGTGGGAAGGCTTCCCGAGTAGCGAAAGAAATGAGAGGATATGTCACAGAAGTGGTAGGAATTTGTGAAAGTAAATGGAATAGGAATGAACTCTCCAAGATATGAATTAGAGAGTCGAAAATCCCCTCCGGTCACATGGACAACGACAACAGACAAACAGAGGGACTGACTGCCATCACGTCATCAAAAGTATACAAGGCTTTTATACAGTGTGAACCAATCTCTTCAAGGATAATAACAGCAAGATTAGATTGAAAAGGAAGATAAATTGCAATTAGCCAGTGCTACGTGCCTACATATAACTCAGAATGAAAGAAGAAGAAAGGATTCTACAAACAACCGTGAGCAGCAATGCACAAGGCTGAAAATGGTGAAACCAAAATCCAAATAGGTTCTATGGATCCCCAGCTAGAAGTGGACAACACACGGAGACTGAATTTTTTAGAAATGAATAGGAACGAGGAACTCCTTCAGGAATCTGCGCCTTTAGTGATTTGGAGATTGTGAAAGTGATTTTGAAGGAAATCCGTATAGCCATCTTGAGAAGAAAGAAGAAACAAGACAAGGAGTGGCTCTCTAAGAACACAAAGAAGTTCACAATAACAGAGGGGTAGTAAAACAGGTGAACCAGCGCAAAAAGTGAAAGACAAAAGGAAAAGTAAAGTCCAGTCGACAACATAGTAAACAAGGAAGTGAAGAAGAGTTCTAAGAAAGACAAAAGATAATACTGAGACAGTGACAAGTGAAACAGAACAGACTGAAGGTAACAGAGATTTCAAATTACTATAGCAGATAACCAGGTCGTAATGTGGGAAGTGACCAACACAGATTACAACGGAGAAAGATATTGAAGAGAACCTAAATACCAAAGAGGAATAACAAAGGAAACAGTTGACTGATCGTTTCAAAGAACTCCTTAACCGACCACTACCTGCTAGTCACCCAGAAATGTCACTAACAGCCACTGAATTGTCACTGCCAACAAAAGCAGAAGTTGCAGGATTTCATCATGAGCTAACATCAGTTAGAGAACCATTGGAAAACCTGGGAGTACTGGACAGCCGTTTCGTCCTAGTTTGGGACTCTTCATCAGTACGCAACCACCGGGATTCGATGTCTGATGTCAGCTCATGATGAAATCCTGTAACCAATCAAATCCCTACAAACCAACACTTGAAAAGCAGAAGTCCTGAATGTAGTCAAGATACTGAAGGCCGGGAATGCAGGAAGATTGGACGGAATTCCTTCTCTAGCTCTGATTATGGCTCCAGATACCTCAGCGGACACTATTGCAAAAGGTTTGGAAGTAAGAAAAGTTACGTACACATTGAAAGAAAAGCTACCTTATCAAAGCGACAAAGAAGTGCAGCTCAAAGATCTAAAGGCGAAAAACAAAGTTTTAGCAGAAGAAGGAGTGAAAACGGAACTTCAAGTGGGCCTAGAGAATACAGAGGTGATCAAGATACCTACCCATCAACAAGAAACATCAATCACTATCGACGGGAAAAATAGGAAGGCAGGTCACTTATCTAAGTGGCATTGTTCCAACTACAGGCAGCATGAAACAAAGCCAGTCAGTATCCAAGAAGTAAGTAGGGTGTTCATTATTCTGAAATCAGTGTGGAAATTTGCTGCTGTTAGCACAAAGAACAAGATGCCGATCTTCAACACTAATGTCAAATCACTGCTTGTATATGGTTCAGCGATTTGCCATGTGCACTATGAAAAGCATTCTTAAATAGACTCCAGATTTTCATCAACAGCTGCCTTCGGTCAATAATAAAGACCAGGTAGCTGAGTGCGATGGATAAGCAATAATTAACTCTGGCGAAGAACCAAGCAAGAACCTATGTCGTGACATATATTCAGATAGAGATGAAGATGGATGGTTTGGATGTACTCATCGACTACCGTTGAGTGACATCATACACCAGGCAAGCTCATGGGTGGGAACCTGAATGGAAAACTAAAAGTTGGGAGGTCAAGTTTGATATGGAGGAGATTGCTTGAGGTGGACAATCGTTAAGCCAGTCTTGTGGTGAAACAGAAGATTTATAGAGTCTAGTTTCAAATCACACTTTGTAGACGAGAAAAAATCAGAGTTACGAGGTTTACTTAGATAGGGTGTTTATTATGATTTTAAAACATCCCATGCTTGGTGAAGTAAAAAAGCTTAGCTTGTGATTAAGATACCCTCTCCTTTTACCGGTCATTTTCACTATTTTGGAACCAAGGTCCTTGTGAAACCAATCAAAGTATTAGGGAAAAGAATAGTAACGAAGTAAGCTGTAAGTAATCGATTACGTTCACTCGTAGCAAAGCTACATAAAGTAAAAATGTATCAAGTCGTTTAATCAAACTTTCATGCGTAATTTGAAATAATACATGATTACTATAATAAACACTAACCTGTCCGAAAACCACTTACGAAATGGGGACTGCGTATCTGAGTTGTCTAGTAAATTGGCATCTCTGTGCAAACAACATCCTGGTTTGAAGCATAGTTTTGCGACCTCACGCTTATCATGTGAGTCTATCCATATATTTTTTCCCTCCGAAATTTTCACTGTTTTATCTAAGGTATCCGAATCCCAATGTTTAAGATTTTCTTCATTTTTATAAAGGGATATTTTCCGATCACTCGAAGAGGAAAATAAATTAACTAGACTGTTTCGCGACTTTCGAACCAAAGGCATGCATGCAGAAGCCAGTGCAGAAACCAAAATTATGTTCATTGGAATTCCTACACAAACTAGGAATACGCAAAACCTTTTTCCCTCTGGTGTAATCGGACTGTTTGTACCGTAACCTAAAAATATATACAGAAATGAACCACTTGCTAAGATAATATTCTCAAAAAGTAAGTTTCAAAGTTGTGTATTTATAAGTGATATGATGATGAATATTAAATTATGTTCGAAACGTCATCCAATAAATAATAAAACTGTTTCACTGTGTGACATATTATCTAATAAACAAATTAATATGAAATTTCATACTACCACAGTGCTCAAGTTGTACACACATGTTCCATATATAGATTTGACTGCTGAGATGATGACAAGAGAAGGGCCTTTTTAGATAATCTGTAAAACCACTTAAAAACATAAAACTACCCAGAATAGCAGCTTCGCGAAATGTTTGATAACTCATATCAAAGAGGAAAAGTTCATTTGGCATTACCGGACTCTGAAAGACATGAATAGCGAATCTTTTAAGGATTTACGCATCAACAAAAAATGAATGGAGGAAATCACGTTACTAAAGCATGGTATGTATATGACCTCTCTCTCCTTCTCTAAAAACAAATTTACGAAACCAGACAATAAATAATGAAAAAGTATAATTAAGACATTTGGTGTATTACATCTGGATAAGGTGATATGATATCTATAAATCGTGCTAAAAATATGTCCTGTTGTCAACCGAATTTACATTTTTGAAAATAATCCAAAAAATATACATAAATCAAATGTTGAAATAGAAGTGACAGTCAGATCGCTGATACTTTTCCTTATACAAGACATGAAATTAACACTTGAAAAGGTACTTAGAATATTCAGGAAAGTATAAATGATTGCCACAGAAACTAATATGACTAGGAAATTAAGGCCTTATTTTTCTATTCCGAAGGAGATAATATTTAACTTACTACTAGCCCAATGAGACACTGAATAGATTTTAGTTTCTGCCCCATACTGTCACCTCCCTGTCCAAAAAAAGATTGCTATACGCTGATTCTTAATCTAGTTTACTTGTGTCCTGTTTTACGTTCAAGTTTATCCCTCATTAAACTTGTACGACTGATTTTTTCATTTCTAGAAGTATCAGTTTAATTTTACATACAGTCTTATAAATTTTGACTAATTCATTGCAGTTTCACTATTGAATCCTTCGTAGTTTTCAATAATGAACAGATAGGGATTTTTCAAAACTTTTAATAGATTGATTCTTACTGGTTCACCAATAATTTGCATATAATTGAGGAAAAAATGAAATACCATACAATCTAGAAATTCTACAATATTTGACGTAATCACAAATTGTTTAATTATAAAGACCTAATATTTTTAAAGTAAAATGCTGATAGTGTGCTGCTGTGTGAAGTATTTTGAGACTTTCATCTTGGGATATATATATATATATACATTGATGTCAGCAATGATGGATTAACCTAACATTAAACTAATGTAAGGCCTGTTAAATTTATAATTAGAATTCACTGTAAAACTAATTCACCAGATAAATGCACCCAACGCATGTAAAGAAAAGAGTCAGCTCACAAGAGTTCAACAAATGGGTAGTTGATTACAAACTAATGGTCATACATTTCTATGAAGAAATAATCAAACAAAAAAAATGTTTCCTTATAGTTAAACATATATGGATTAGGTTCTAAGCTGTTGATGATATACAATAAGTACGGTCAAACACCGGTATCCATTTATTTATTTATTGATTTAAACGTAGTAATCGCAGTCTAATGTTTATTACGCCAATTAACAAACTCCACTCCAATCATACATATTTATATTTTGGATCATTCACTTTCTGATTTCGCAGACAGAAATTTAAAAATAAGTTTATATTCTCAAGGACTGATTTAGAAGTGAAGGTCAGCTAATCAATACAAGAAAAAAATGAAACAGGTTGATTATATGAAGACAACAATAAGATATTAGGTTTCAGGGAGCTAAGTGAAAGAAGTTCTGAAGAATCACGAATGCTACATATTTATTAATTCAAAAGTCAGTTTAACACCTTGCTTACTGGAGAAACAGTATGTTTCTAGGTGGTATGTTACCCAGTGTTTTCGTTTTCCTCTGCATGGACTGAAAAGCGTGTTATTTATTTATCCATTCTAAACAGTGAAATACCCTTATGAATGCTAGAGAATGAAACTACGAAATCTATGAATACAGGAAATACTTAACTGCACTATTCTTCACGGTTTTTCCTGTAAACGATTTCATTTTATCAAGAGGAATATGCATCAGAAGTATTTTTTTCTTGTTTTACTCCACTTACCTCAAACTGGATAACTGTGTAGTACCAGAGTCTTCACACAAAATGTGTGGCTCATAGCTGAGTATATGAGAAATCTGTTTCGGATAACTGAATTCTAAGGGTATGTTGTTTGCTAACTGTCGTATGTTTATGGCAAAGGGAATCCATCTTAACGGCTAATTTTATTTATGCAAAAATTACCATAATATTGACAGAATTTAGCACTCAAGACCAACACTTATCATAATTAAAAATTTAGAATACACACGGTGATTAAGAAATCATAAAATGTAACCTTACCTATAGTAGTAATAACTGTGATCACAAAAAATATTGATTCAGAAAAATTCAAGTCACTTTTATTATCTTCGTCTTCTTTTAGGTCAGTCATGGCGACTGATTCGAAATGAGAATTGAATTCCATATTTTTCTCCGAATGAAACTCCTCATACCACTTTTCAGGAATAGCAAGAGAACTATATATACTTAGATCTTTAACCCGTGTTACTGATATGCGCAATTTCTTGGCTGCCACAACGTGACTGATAAACTCGTATAGGTCATCACCTAGTAAGATAATTTATGCATACTAGGATTAGCATAATACTCGCAGACTAATATTTTTATAAAAATAGCATTCAAAAATTCCAACATAAAAACACAAAACAGCAAACGTTGTAGCTGATGGAATGTTGGGTTGGCCATTTTTACCTATTGATTTCTAAATAGCAGTGCTCAATGTAGTATGACAACCTATAATGTATAGTTCAGATGGTAAGAGTTTTCGGTGGCTATGTATGATATTTATTGATCACTACACGCAGAAGTTTTGTCATAGTAATTTCGTCAGAAATTTAACGTGCTATTGGTATTTACAGAGGTTCTTTTCAGAATAAATGTTCTGAAGTATATATATATATATATATATACGTCGTCCGCCAATGCTTCCATCTTTCAAACAGTTATGGACTGCAGTGTCTAGAGATTAATATGACATTGACGCTGTTTTCATGATTAGTAATTCAGTAGTTCTAGTGAACAGTTTAAAATCCTTTCATAGCAAATTTTTGTTTGAAAGCTATCACTATTATTACTTCTGTTTTACCACTCATTTCTTGACATCTAAAAAGTCAGGTGCTTTCCAAGCAAGCAGTGATGATTGAGATTTGTTAAATAGAAATGCCTCACAGAATTTATTGAATCTTAGTATTTCATTTATTGTCTGAACAAACTTATCATCGAACTACATCACATCCTGCCTGATTAAAATTGGAAACCTTTAAAAACTTTAATTTCTCAGACTGAATTTAAATTTTAAGGGAAGTCCTGCACTCTTGCTTGACATTCTTCAGGCAATTTATTTATATTAAGTAACGTGTGATGTCCCGAAGTTCCTGAATGAAGTGACCATAAAAGTGAGAAACGTTTGGGTTTTGTAACGTACACATTATTACAACTTATGCAAAACAGGTTTAATCAATTCAGTATTCAAAGCATTCATAACACCAAACGTAATTAGTTATTTAATTTTTCTGTATGAAATGTTTCAGGTGAAAGACATCTTTCATGAGAAATAAACTGTAGCTAAGGCAGTTAGTGTAATTCCAGATGTTTAATTCCCAGGTAATTATAAAGGTTGACAACACAGTTTTGCCTTACAACTTACTTCTAACTAAAGTACCAGCAACAACAAATGAAAACAGGGGTTTGTTAGGTAGATTGAAACATCGCCTACTATGTCAACCAGTACAGAGCCTTCAAAATGATAGGAGATTAGCAGTTTGGCTAGCAAACGTACTTAGTAAAAACAACCACATTCGTACTGAAACTGAAATTGTAAAATAATTTTTCGCTGAGATGTAGTGGTAAAAAAGTGACGCAGGGCAGCGGAGGCTGTCCAGAAGCCAGTCAGTCGATGTGTCTTCTTCCTATATGAACAGAACTGGGTGGGGGAACGTGGAAAGTGTGCACTTCATTCGGAACTAGCAAGCTGCTCAGAGTGCGAGGGAAGTCCGAAGAAGCGCTATGAATCTGTGACAGAAGATGGAATCGAATTAGAGTCTCCAAATTGTTAAGTGAAAAGTCAAAAACCTACTTCCAGTCATCCAAAAGACATCTCTGAGAACAGTGGCAGTATACCTATCTTGATTTCACTAACCGTATTCAAGTAAGATTCTTCTGCAGTGGGAACTAACTTCTACTGATATCATAACAACAAGGCAAAATACAAATGAAGGAAAGTTAGAATTATACAAATAATACAACCGGGAGTACAAGGAAAGCAGCAGGACAAGATAGGATTCTCACTGAGAGAAGACTGAGATACGTCAGCTGATAGACTGATGGAACTGTTGTAGATGGTGTAGAAGGAAAGAAAGGAACCAAATGATGAGTGAAAGAAAAGCTACTCTATCAAAACGCCAAAGAAGGGTGACTTAAACCTGTGCGGAAACATTCTCTTATCCTTTCCAAGAAGAATATTCAGCCACACCATCCTGAAAACAATAAAGTCTTCCTCGGATATCAAACTTCTTACGGAGCAGGCAAGAAAAAATAAGTCAGCAACGGATTAAATCGAAACATAAGACATCATCGTCCACCAAAGATGAGGATGGCAATCAACTCTCTGTTTCAACCCCATAGACTTTGGAAAGGCCTTTGAGACTGTTGACTGTGAAGTAATTTAGCAACAGATTCAGCACTACGGAGTGCAGAACCGCAAACATTAATTAATCTTAATCGAAAGCTATATAGTAATGCATGCATACCAAATAGTTCACCACAATAAATTCAGCAAAACTTTTGGAATGAAGGAAGGAGAAAGACAAGACTGTCTGATAACACTGGTCATCTTCCTAATGATAATGGATTGAGTCATGTAGTGAACATTTCACAGTGAGAAGATGGGTATACTTCTGACAAACAAAAGCACCCTAGATGTCGTTTTGACGAATCAGTCATATCTCATGTCGTACAAACTTAAGGATAGAAAAGTGAAAATTATCAGTTTGGCAGATGTAGCACTGAAGATAGCACTTCATTCAACGGGACGTCAAGAACACAGATGAGATGAAAATACCTGACCAACAAGATGAAACTATCTACCCCACCTACTTATCTTACAAGCCTCAGACGAAAAGGACGAGGAACTCATAAGAAAGGCAAGTCAAGACTTCATTACTAAATCTGAAACCAGTGTGGACATCTGTATCATTCAGAACAATGAATAAAATCCGAATTTATGACCCTAACTTCGCGTCAGTGCTTCTATTTAGTTCACAGACTTGACGCTCATGTTATCAAAAGCGCTTTCGACAGGATACTCTAGACTTTCACCAACCAACTGCTGTCTTTTCTTTATACTGATGATCAGATGGCCAACTGGGAGGGCTAGACAACAAGGAACTGTAGTAACTAACCAGTCGACTACCTGCTGCCTAACAATATGTAGAAGTAAATCGAAGTGGTATTGACATATGCTGATGAAAACATTGAGTAAAACCACATATGAGGACGTGGAGATTAACTTTATTGGAAAGCGACGGTTAAGACGTCCGAATGAGATGAGGAAAAAATCATGTTAGGGGGGAGAATCAGCTAAAACACACGGTTGACAACATGGTAAAATGGAAGTATACTGCAGAAACCTTTGTTCCGACTTGGACTCAACGAACGAATTGCATTAATTAATAAATCATTCTGAAGAAGCTCGGCATAATATTCATTGAATTTCAGAAATTTTGTTTTGTAAGCATGTAGGACGTTGACATCTATCGCAACGCTTTTTTCAAAACTTTTTCCTTACCGCCGAATAATCAAAAGTAAGTGAAATCCAGAGAAGCTTTGTATGCACAATTGTCTAGTTAAAACGTTTAGTATCAAACTGATATAAAGCTGTGGTCAAGACTAATTGTATAATTAACAGGAAAAACGCAGGATTGGAGTGCATTCTGAAGCTTTCATTAAAGGAAAATAACATTTCAGTCAGACGAAATTACCTTAAAGTCATCTATTATGATAGGCATAGAGAATAACCGATAGTGTGCAGTTTGATTAAGGCCGTGTGAAATACTTCCGGTATGGGGCTTCATCGTTCTTTCCTTTAGTAACTAATATATATATATATAGATATATTTCTCCTCAGTAAGGTCAAGTTTTTCAGCATACATCCCTGTGGCGTAATATTCTGACCGACAGAGGACTATGTAATTGACCTATCCAAGAGGGTGATGTATGGTTGGCAGGTTGAAGTAATCTAGAACATTGGATTCAAGAATCACTCATATTAGCTTCAACACATCACTTTTACGATAAAGGAGGAATCAAAAGCAAAATTAAAGTATGACAGTCGTTATTATATTACCTTTCACACATGAATGCATCTTTAGAAATTGAATTAGAGAGGCGTGTAGTCGTAGTCTCTCTTTTCTCTCCATAGGCCTTTCAATTTTATTGAAACAAAATGCACCAAAACAACAAAATAATACGTATGCAGCAATGAACAGAAGTAACGGAAGCTTTGTACGGCAGCAACTATTTTTCGATGTTGCCTCACATTCTCTCCAAGGTGTAAACCTGGTATTCTGATTGATGTATTCATGGGCGTAGTGATTGTGATAACATGTTTCATCTTCATTCATATTTTAGTGTGTGCCAAACAAGTGGCGTAGTAAGTGAATATCTCGAGAACAAACGTCACTCGGGGTTTTTCAATCTAGGTGTATGAAGTTTCACGGAAAAATATAGAAAATATTATATATGTAGCAAATATATTTTTTATTATGTATGTTGTGATAACCGTTAAGGGAAAATGTGCAGACTAGGTAAAATTCGTATTAATACTTATCAGAATCAATAATAGTAGTCTAAGATTTTCTTTAAAATACTTCACCTACTTCATTATGTCACTTGGTGAATAAATCTGAAGAGAATCAAGAGTTCGTCTTCTGTCACAAAACAAACAACTAGCTTTCATGGGGAAAGTAGACCTAATATTAGACACAGAAATGGTAAAACTTCAAACATTGTTCAGAAAGACTACAGTGTGTTGATATAAGACTTATATTAGAAAAACCGAAATTTAAAAAACCACCTCACTCAAGCAAATAATTCAAATTCTTGTGACTTCCTGTTTGCTCCATATGCCTCCAAAGTTGAAGAAAACGTTTGCACGTTTTATATTCTAGAGTAGTGGAATTTTAGAAATAAGTGTAAAGAAGTAAAACGGCATAATTATAAAAAAATATTTTATTTGTAACCCAGCAGTTGCTTAAGTCGGCTTTGTTGACTGAAACGGCAATAATGCAGATGACATCTACATGTTGATATACATAACCAAGAGTTAAAGCAATGAAAGCTTTCTAAGAGATGATCAAGACACATATTTTGCTTATGTTTAAAGGTTATGGATGATATTATGTATCGGACATTGCGGCAAGTGAAATTCTTACATATTATTGTATCATTTTAAATTAGAAATCCTCAACACGTCCAAACCTGTTACTTACTGACAAGTTCTGAGCCCGCTAATTGTTTAGTTATTTGCCTGAGCTAATAAATACTAACCTCTGGTATCAAGAAAAACAGTATATTTTAAAAGGTCATATCTAATTCTGAGAATCACGCCAGTCGCGCAATGGCTCGAAATCATAGATATATGTCCACTCTACATAATTCTTCAAGTTATCAAAATATTCATAAATTTTTACTTAACTGTTCACTCCTCTGAAACATACTTTTCTGAATTAAGTCATGCCATACTAATGTGAGGCAAATTCCGCACTAAGTTTTATCTTCCTGATTCACAGCCTATTACGCATAGAACACAATAACCCGATGGAGTTGCTATGGTAATTGCAAATTATTATTGACTGCTCTTCAGACTTGGGTTGTCAAATGCAAACATAGATAACTGTGCACGAATGAAGTGAAAGAACTGTTTTTGAATCCAAACCATAAAATTAAACCGAGTAATCGTTTAAAGTTGTATTTAATAATGGGCAATACATGTTGGTTGGAGCGTATATGAAATCAAGTGTAGGTATAAAACCTTTACAAAGATTCCAAGCAGCTAAACTTACCAAGATATTCTGGTTACATTATATCTAGGTGTAAGAATTTAGTTTCATAACCTACTGAATGAACCATAGTCCGCTTGAACTGACTACAGACAGTACACTTAACTGGGTATGACCCAGCAACATCGCTGCAAATCTTTCCATTTTCCGAAGATCAAACTATTCTTGAGACTATTTTAAATGGTGTTACAGATTCATGATTATCAACAGATTGCTAATATAGAAAAGTTCTACTCTATGTACACTCACCTGAGATTTGAAGAAATATAGTACTGCTGACAGGTTTGTCTGTTCTGCATAAAGGCTGAAATTTATTAGTACCAAACGTTTTGAGAATATTTAGTGTTTTCCTGCGTGCGAAAACTACATAGTCAATCCGGAGTTCGTGCCAGTGTCTATTAGCGCTTTAAAACAAGTGAGGAATTTTAGAGATCCGGTCACATTAATTGAGAAACTATCAAGGCCACAATTAGTAGAAATTTTGGCTTTTATGCAATAAGGTCTGTATCACCTCATACAAAACCAACTTCGATCATCTTTATTACAGAGGCACTATAATTAATTCCAATATCGCTTTTACGAGCTAGTGTAAATCAGTCTGACTTCTTTGCGCCCACTCCTTCATTGTGAGGTAAAGGTTCCTGATCTTCAGTAAACTTCTGCGTTGTTCATCCAGCCACTCGACTATAGTAGCTTTGATTAACTCCCAAAGGACTTGTGCTTGTAGTATACTGCGTGTTAAGACTTTGTTGCTACTGTGAATGGAGTTGATCCTCTCACCAATTAGTCCTCTCGTGTCATCAACAAAAGAAAACATAATAATAATAGTGGACATAGTCAATGTGGGCTATTCAGACTCAAAGACAGAAAAAGAAATAAGGAAAGTGTAAAAACAGACAGCTAATTAAATTCTAAGTTGATGTATATAGTATGAATAACAGTAATAAGTGTAGATGTAGTATTCGGAGTAGTCTGGAGAGTAAAGAAGTAAGACGATGAGTTCAGATGTCTACCCGTTAATAGTGTATGAGATTTTAAGGGAATAGATCGTTTACACGCAGTCCTTGTGTCGCTGCATAATTGTCCAGTCTTCACTTGAAGCTGTCCACAGACAGCGGCGTAGCTACATATGCCGGTAAAGAATTCTAGGGATGGTGAACCCGCAGCGGAAAGAAGTGGGAGCGCACCCGGTTCTTTGCCCTGTGGTGAGCTATCCTTCTAAGATTTCAGCGAGGAAGCCCATATCTACTCAATGGCAGAACACCTATGTTTGGGGGATTCTGGTGATTTGTCATCTGATAGGCAGTAATCAGGTCCTCCCTAAGGTCGATGGTAGTTAAGTGTGAAGAGACCTAATTTCTGTTGGCGTTCATCACACAGTTTGTTTCGGAAACCCATCATTCCTTTTGTCAACTGTCTTTGGACTCTTTCGAAAAGGCTAATGGAGTTGCAACGGCATTGTGCACTTCAAAGTGTGGTATAGGGTGTATTTTGTTCAACCTTAGAAGTAACTCAGCAGTGAGTGCACCTAACTGTTTATGTGTAAATTGCATGACCGCATATGCAATCGCACATTCCCCATGTAATTCACGTTTGTGTTCATCTTTTTTGTTAGAACTAGACCTAAGTCGCTCTCCAACGTTGTGCAGGACAAGCTTTAGTTGCACAGGGCGTACCATGCATTCTGCAGCCTACAGGTGCATAATTTCACTACTTTGCACCTTTTCGGGTTGAAAGTCAAACCACTGGCCACCACTCAGTTTTCCGGAAAGTTAGATTTGCCTGCAGCCTATCTGAGTCTTTCGTCACTAGATTAAAGCTCTGGATTTCCATTTCGTAGAAAGTACTGTACGTTTAGCATGCGTTAAGATAACATCACAGATCGATTTCTTAAACAAACTTTAGAGCAGATTACAGTACATCGATGTCATCAAAACTTCTGTTTTAAGAACTGGCATAAATTAAATCAGTATCGTTCCTCTGTAATTCTCATGATTACGAAATATTTCTGATTATTTTATAGGTTTAATTAGTTTATTCTCATGCTTGAAGTATCTCTTGTTTATCTAATGGTTGGTGTAACTTCGTCCTATTGTGCTGATTAATTTCTCGTAGGTCTGCCAGCAGCCTATTTGAGTCTTCTGAACACCTTATTGGCCTCTACATCTTTACTTCGTCAGCATAAAGAAGATTCGGGCGGCTTAGACGTATGGTAGGTCAATGATAAAAATCAGGAACATCAGTGCTAGTAGGATAGAGCCCTGCGACACTCCTGATGACGAATCGTGCCAAGGTGATCGAAATCAATTGACCTTAGTGCAGAATTTCCTTTCTTTCTTCAGCTGTGTCAGAAGTGGCTCACCCACACCTCCCTGACTTATTTTGATAGGTAGAATTTATGGCGAACTGTGTTGAACGCCTTCTCAAATTCTATTAAGACACCAGGGACTGGAACATTCACATCCCAGCATGTTGTCCAATAGTCTCAAGCTGATAGTAGGTTTTTACACAGGATCTGCCTCTTCTGAAACCATGTTGGGTTTCATGGAGTTTATTATACTTAGATGGGATTGCTTACGAAAATCCTGAGGTGATATGTGAACTGTTTAGCAAGCACTTCGCCAGATTATACACCTTAGAGAACGATGAGGTCGTGGATTTCCCACGTAAAACAGACGAATGTTTAAGTGACATGCTTTTCACCACACACGCGATCGATAAAGCTGTCGCAAATCTTAAGCTTAGTAACACTATTGGTCCAGATGGTATATCTTCCATTCTGCTTAAAAACGATGGTAGTGACATGAATTTACTCCTGCTCAAGTTGTACTCAATTTCACTAAGCGATGGGACATACCCCACCTGCTGGAAGAAGTCTTATATTGTACCTATCCATAAATGCGGGCCTACAGCTGATATCAACAACTACCGCCCCATCAACATCACGTCTGTAGTTTCACGTGTAATGGAAAAGATAGTAAAGACTCAAATCATTCAGTACTCGCTGTCAAATGACCTACTATCCCCATCCCAGTACGGTTTCTTAAGTAGAAGGTCGTGCATTACTTGCCACTTAGATTATTTTGACTACATTGCACAATGCATTGATAATAGGCATTCGGTAACAAAATTATTTCTCGACGTTAGCAAGGCCTTCGATAAAGTCCCACATATCAGACTCATAACAAAACTAGAATCCTACGGAATAACCGGGAAACTTCTCAAATGGATAAATTCTTTTCTCACAGAAAGAGAGCAGTTAGTCAAACTCAACCACCAGCTGTCTTCATCAAAGCCGATAACTAGTGGTGTAATACGGGGTAGCGTTCTTGGCCCTATTCTATTCCTCTTATTTATAAATGACATAGTCTCTGTGATCAAGTATGGCAAGCCATACCTCTTTGCAGATGATCTCAAGATAGTATAGATTACGGGTACGATGATAAGAGCGTCGAAAGCAAAATCCAACATGAATTAAACAATCTAGGCGATTGGAGCGAAAAGTGGCAACTGACTTTCAACCCAGACAAGTGCGGTATAGCCCACCTTGGACGCTGGAAACC